TCGGCGCTGCGTTTTTCAAAAAGTCTCAGCTTTCCGGTGTCGTAACGACTATTGTCTATATCCTTCTAGCTATTCTCGCCCAAACTCTGACGTCGCCCAAAACTGCAACAGTCACTGTTCTCAGCTTGCTTTTCACGCCCTGTAACTTTGTTTACTTCATGACTTTCATTGCGCGATGGGAAAAACAAGGGTTCCGTACAGATCTCCTTCACACACCTCCCGGGAACCCGTGGGACCTGCCCGGCCTAGTTCTTTGGATCTTCCTGGTTGTGCAGATCTTCGTCTACCCAATTATTGGTGCTTATCTTGAGCGCGTTTTCCATGGATCCACGACTCATGGCCGCACTATTCTTCGCGGCGCGGCAGCCACAGCGCCCGAATATGCCGTTCGCTTGGAGGGCTTTACAAAGATCTACAAGCCGAGTGTGTTGCGACGAATGTTCTCGTTCATTTCGAAGCCTAGGGATGCCGTCGTAGCTGTCGACAAGCTGTCACTGGATGCAGGACGAGGTCAGATTCTGGCACTTCTGGGAGCGAACGGAAGTGGGAAAAGTACGACTCTTGACTCGATCGCCGGCATTAGCAAAGTCACAAAGGGTGGTATCACTATCGATGGATCAGGCGGTTTGGGCATTGCACCCCAAAAGAATGTCCTGTGGGATGATTTGACGGTCATGGAGCACATCAAGATTTTCAACCGACTGAAATCGCCTGGGAACACAGCTTCAAACGACGAGATTCGGGCGCTTGTCGCATCTGTAGACCTGGCCCTTAAACTCAAGGCCAAGTCCAAGACGCTGTCTGGTGGACAGAAACGGAAGCTACAACTCGGTATGATGTTGACGGGTGGCAGCGCCGTGTGCTGCGTCGACGAGGTTTCATCCGGAATTGATCCCTTGTCACGTCGTAAGATCTGGGATATCCTCTTGGCTGAGCGGGGCAAACGGACGATTATTTTGACGACACATTTCCTCGACGAGGCAGACTTGCTTGCTGATCACATTGCCATACTCTCAAAGGGTACTCTCCGGGCACAAGGGTCATCGGTCGAGCTCAAAGAAAGGTTGGGCTCAGGTTACCGCATCCATGTATTCAATGCCAAGGAGAATCAGAACTCCCCGGAGATTGAAGGTGTCAAACGGGTGAAATCCTTTGACGTAATCAGCTATTTGGCACCCTCTTCGAACCTGGCTGCTCAAGTCATCCGCGCTTTGGAAGCTGCAGATATCCACGACTACAAATTTTCAAGTCCCACAATCGAAGATGTGTTCTTGCAAGTCGCCGAGGAGGTCAAGAACGAAACGGTCAGAACGCCCAGTTCCGAGTCCACCGACGAAAAAAACACTTCCTCGGAGTATGTCGGCGCGATTGGAATTGGTCCTGAGAAGGACAGACTCGAGCTGCTGTCAGGTCGGCCAATTGGCTTCTTCCGACAGATGGTAGTCTTGCTACAGAAGCGCGCTACAGTTTTCAAAAGGAACTGGTTTCCTTATGTCGCTGCCCTCCTCATTCCCATCGTTGCAGCAGCATTAGTCTCACTTTATGTGAAAAATCAAACTCTCATCAGCTGTACTCCCAGCGACGCGGATGCTGCCGGGCAAACATCTGATTACTCGGCCCTATATGACAGCTTATACATCGTGGCCGGTCCGTCTTCAGATTTCGATGCCACTACACTGTCGGTCCTGTTCACGCCGGTTCTCTCAAGCTCGGACGGTAACTCTGGCAGCGCGCAGAATGCCACCAATAATTTTGCCGAAGCTCTACACCTTGTTGATAGTTATGCCGATTTCAACAATGATGTAATCCAGTATCGTCGCAACGTCACGCCCGCTGCTTGGTGGGCTGGCGACGACAATTCGCCTCCGACCGTTGCGTATCTAGCCGACACTGACGACGTGTATACCTCAGTCTTTGGTCAGAATGCACTGGACATCATCCTTTCCAACACAAGTATTGCAACAACATTTTCTCCGTTTGCCTCATTATTTGTTCCCGGTACAGGCAACTCTCTACAATTGCTCGTCTATCTCTGTCTCGCATTGTCTGCCTATCCTGCCTTCCTGGGTCTCTACCCAAACGTGGAGCGTCGACGAAATGTTCGTGGTCTGCAATATTCGAATGGTGTACGTTCCCTTCCGCTGTGGTGTGCGTATGTCGCTTTCGACTTCACCATAGTTGTTGTGTCGTCAGCGGCCGTAGCCGGGATTTTTGCATCGACGGCAGACGCATGGTACCATGTCGAGTACATCTTCTTGATATTCTTGCTCTACGGACTGGCCTCGATATTGCTGTCATACGTCATCTCATTGTTTTGTAATAACCAACTGTCCACTTACGCCTTCAGTGCCGCTGGGCAAGCAGTGGGATTCCTGGTTTACCTCATTGCTTATTTGGCTGTTCTCACTTACACTTCAGTCAACAAGATAGACGACAACCTTCTGGTTGTACATTTTGTCATTTCGGCCTTTGTTCCAATCGGCAACGTGGTGCGTGCTCTGTTTGTGGGGTTGAACTTGTTTTCGACGACATGCGACGAGCAGCAGTTCCGCAGTAACCCCGGCGATATTCTCAATTATGGTGGACCCATTCTCTACCTCATCTTACAGTCTGTCATTCTTTTCATTATACTCTTGTGGCACGACAGCGGCGCCGGTAGAAGCTTCATCAGCCGCTTGACACAGAAAGCCGTCAAATCAAAGACGGAGCCATCCTCGTCAGACGACGAAGAGGTTGCACACGAACTTGACCGTGTCACCACTGGCCCTTCTCAAGATGATGGTCTACAGACCCTGCATTTGACGAAGACTTTTGGCAAGTTCACAGCAGTCGACAATGTCACATTTGGTGTCAAACATGGGGAGGTATTTGCGCTTCTTGGACCCAACGGAGCGGGTAAATCCACGACAATTTCCCTGATTCGTGGTGACATCCAGCCCAGCCGAAACGGCGGCGACATCTTGGTCGAGAATACTTCTGTCACTCGCAGCCGTGCCACCGCGCGATCTCACTTGGGGGTCTGCCCCCAGTTTGATGCCATCGACTCGATGACAGTCGAAGAGCATCTAAGATTCTACGCACGAGTACGTGGCATTCCTGACATTGAGCACAATGTGCGCGCTGTGCTTCGAGCTGTCGGTCTCGAGGCATTCTCGACTCGTATGGCCGATGCCCTTTCAGGCGGCAATAAACGCAAACTTTCGCTCGGCATTGCGTTGATGGGCAATCCTAGCGTAGTCTTATTGGACGAGCCCTCTTCTGGTCTCGACGCGGCAGCGAAGCGTATCATGTGGCGGACGCTGGGCGCTATTGTTCCCGGACGATCGATCCTTCTTACGACGCATAGCATGGAGGAAGCCGACGCCCTGGCTAGCCGCGCAGGAATCCTAGCGAAGCGAATGCTGGCCATGGGCACCATTGACAATCTCCGCGAGCGCTTTGGAGATGCGGTCCACGTTCATCTCGTGAGCAAATCAGCGCCTCACTCTACAGACGAGGAAATGGATGGTATGCGTGCGTGGATCGTGAAGACTCTCCCTGGCGCCGTCGTCGAGTCCAAGACATATCACGGGCAGATTCGGTTCTCCGTCCCAGGTAACTCGATTGGGGGCCGTGACGCCACCGCCAACAGCGCCGTGGGCAAACTTGTCGTCATGCTTGAGGAGCAAAAGGAGAACCTCGGGATTGAGCATTACTCATGCACGCCGACTACACTGGATCAAGTCTTCTTGACAATTGTCGGAAGACACAACGTCCAGGAGGAAGGATACACGGAAAAGCCAAAACCGTGGTGGAGGAGATGATGTTGGTCTTGGATTATCTATATATTTCCGCTTTGTAAATATTTTTTGACGTCGCATTGATTCCGCTATGGATTTCTTTTCGTGTTTATAGGTAGGAGGATTCTCGCCCGACATCTACTTGACAGATGGGATATGGCGTTGGAACGTGTGAACGGATATAGACACGCACAGCATACATGCAATAGATTCCCCTTTTGTTTTTCTAGTTCATTCTTCTCAGGACTTGGGCAAATCGGATCAGCGGTGAGTTGAAGTACAGTCTAGTCTCAATTTAGTCAGCACGTAGCACACTACCTACACACCACCAGGTTTTATATTGTTGTTCGCTTGCAGCTTAACATCGTTCAGTCTAAGCTATCATTAGTCGTCAGTCCCAAATACTTTCAAGTTCGTACCGACATCGTTTTTCTGTCGTCTTGGGCCCTCGAACATAAGGTGACCAAGAAACACCAGCTGTATCTGGCCATCTTTGTTGACTGATCCGGATCGCGTTTTAAGTGCCACATATCAACAACCAAGCTCTTTTATTGACTGGCGCGAGACTAAATTTTGAGCCTGGCGCTGAGCAAAGTTCGCTCGCCACTCGCCGACACGACGGCCAACGCCGGCTTCCACATCAACCCCAGCCTGCCGCCAACTCGACGCATCAGTGCGCCTATTTGGCCTACGAGGAGCTCAAAGATTCCAAGATCCCTAACGGCACGGAATACAACGCAGATGTCAACGCAGATGTGATCAACAGCCGATCCTACTTCGACAATCGATACCTTTGCTGAGGCTGTTAGTCTGGGAGCGCCTAATGTTGTTGACTGAATCTTGTTCACTGGTCTTGGAGATTAATATTCTAGAGTGTCAAGATGATCGTCGCGAGAAAGGACAGGAGTTAATCTGTAAGTATTCTCAGGGCGGGTTGTCCATTAACCATGTTTCGCTTACTCTCTCTCGACTTAAAGATACATAGGCATCCGAGAGAGTAGCAAGGAAAATTCGCGCATCCAGTTCACTTAAATTGCCCATATCAGCCGACTTGTGTTATCGACACAGCCAAGATTCATTGAATGCTACCGGCCGAACCACCATTGACCCCGGATTATCCGGCCCATCCCGGATCATGAAGGAAGCTCAGGATCAACATTCTCAACAGCATCCCTTGATAATAAACATTACACCATGAACCTCTCAACAATAAGCACTCGTGGTCGGTTAGCTCAGTTGGCAGAGCATCGCAATAACAACTCTCCCTGAAGAGATATACCTGCGAAGGTCATAGGTTCAATCCCCATACTGACCATGTCTCTTTTTGCTCACACGCCCATTGATTACTTTTTCACATTTCTCTCCCTTCCCGGACCTCTGAGCAAGATATCGCGAGCTCTCGCTTCTGTCTGACACCGGGCTCTACTTTCCCTGAAGAGACATTGAGACTTTTTTCCTCAACCCGAAGTACTTCTCTGACCATGGTATGGACATCTCTCGGTAACAGGTAGACACTCTCCTGGCCCTTGCAGAAAGGGGGAACACTTTGTACTACAGTTAGTTACAGATAATGCGAGATTGAGAAGACCACAACGTAAGCATACCCAGTACTGCCCAGGGCCGCAATTTGGGGTGTTGGTGACTTCGTGTTTGCGCTCCCAGAAAACAGGAGCAGTGAGTTCAAGTTCTCGAACCCCAACGCCGTTTATGAACCCACCATCCAGGGGAGCCGCCTTAGCCACAAATGCGAGGAATGCAGTAAGTTCAGTGAGGATCTTCATTATGAGACTTGAGATTAAGATTAACAATGAGAGATAGGACACTAGAAGAAAACCCGATCAAGGCATACTCGATGGTGCTGAAGCTAAGTTTTTATACTCAAATGGTTATGTGACCTACTCCAGGTACCCCCTGTGACGTTATGACTTTGCTCCCTTGTAGTACACACGAACGCTTTGCGCCGTGCTTCAGTAGGACGTGACCATAGCTTTTATTAGGTCCAAACGCACTTGACATCTGCCACTTGGCCAACGACATTGCTGCTGTGCGACTTGACTACCGACGACGCCATCTCGCGTTAACGGCTAGGGTCAAACTATGACGCATGTGCAACATCTACAATGAGCAAGGCAAACAAGACTGACACGGGAGTACACTCTCAATGGCTCGTCACGAGTAAACGCCCAGGCCTCTGTCGCCTATGTGGTAAGACCGACATAAAAATCTAGAGCGTACGCCTGGCAACCGTGTTAAGGTAATGACCACTCCCAGGTGTGCAAATGTCATGTGCTGAGTCAATTGTATAGCCGCGGCTACTACGGCTATTGAATAACCACGATCATCGTTGATATGATGAGATCCTTACATGTATATACAAGACCTGCATTCGGCCTATTTCGAATGTGAGGTGACTTCCAGCTTTCATTCTGTACTCGAAAGACCTTTGAGGTCACATTACCGCCTCCTTCACCTTGTTTTAGTGTTATACCACTTTACGATAAAGTACCTGACGCTGACCCCAGGGATGGTGTGGAATCCGGACTTATACATGCAGGTCCTGATTAGGGCCCTAACAATGAGGAACAGTAAAAGCGCAATGGACACGGTGCCAAATGGCCTCATTTACGACTGCCACCAATATCGGATTCTAAGAGCATCAGTTTGGGAACTTGGTGCCATCTCAGGACTTCGTGTGGGATGCATAGTAGTATAGTGCATTTATTTTCATCGTTAAGGGCGTCTGATGCATGAGCAATTATAGATCTTAACTCTGCCCATCGGTCTCTATGAGTAGAGGCAGACGCAGAAATTACATATGCAACGAGTCTCAACTCGTTTAATGTGACTTAGCACAACGCTGGGAATTGGACTGGCATTTGATGGGTTTATCCCTCCCTCGTTTCCTCGTTTCCATAGACAGTTTCGTATAGCGTACCACAAGCGAGCGGCCCTCTTCAGCGGGATGTATGGACAGCGCGATGAACAGCATCTCCAAATGCTTATTGAGCTGTCACCATTGCTGCCTCGCGACTTGCCCACGTGCGGGAACAATATACTTGTTCCCTAGAGCTTCGTATGGATAGGAGAGAAGAACCATCCATCTCAATATTTTTTTCTTCCCTCATGGCCTCTTGTTTGCCGGTGCGCAGCATCACCACCTCGTGTCGTGAGACATGGCATGTCATGAACAAAATGACTGACGCACCAGCTGAGCATGGCACCCATGATCATCAACACCTCCGTTGGACAAACCGACACAGTGACGAGCAACTCGAATTGTAGTCCTAAGGCCAGGATTGAAAAGTCTACTCCCGTGTCTATTTCACTGATTCAGTGACTACCAGACAGATGCAAGTTGTATTTAGAGAAAGTATTCTACTCTTTTGTCGTTCGTAGCCTGCATGACTGCGTTGACTTTCTCATTAGAGCATCGCAATAGTAACGAAGAGATATAATGGACATCTTATCTTCAACAGCCCGTTGAAGATCGGCTATCAACTTGTCCATTGTCCACCCACTGACGACTGTAGATTGTAATGCAGCCACCAATTTTCCGTACACGACCCTCCTATGACTGAGCGAATTGTACGTCCACGACGATAGATAGTCATAGCTCTGCTCAGTGTCGCCGTCGTCACATTTAAAACCACTTTACATACAATAGCAACAGAAGAGCACGGCGCCCAGTGCTGAGTTGCCTCTCTCTTTCTTTTGAAGAGATAAAGTCTGATGAGATTGATAACCGTATCTGAGCTGTATTAGCACGGTGTCGTGAATACACCGTATTCGGCAATCCGAGCAGAGACTATAAATACATTATACGACTGAGATCGCAGGTGGGCCGATATTTCGTATGCTAAACGAGCACCAGTCACTGACGAATACGACGCTAATAAGCGGATGTACAACCAAGCCAATCGACTTTTGATGTGGTTGATGAAGCATGAGATGTCTAACTCAAGGATCGTCGAGATCCATTTCCATACTATCATTGCGCCGCCCGTGGAATGATATATACCTGGCTACGCAAACGTTCTCCCTCGCCAGTTCCTGTCTACACGAACTTGAAGCGACTAGCTCCAAATAATTTCAAAATAATTTCAAAAGACCGCACTCACTGCCTTGCTACTCAGCGATCCCTTCATCAACGTCGCATTCACTCTTCCGCATCGGCAGGATTTGTCTTGCGTAACGCGCGTCCGACATGCCGAGCTTTCTCTCCGTGATCTTCGGCTCGTCGAACAAAGGCGGTGCCACATTTGAAGCCAAACGGGATATCCCATCCCTAGCGGGAAAAGTGGTGCTGATCACAGGTGCCGCCGGCGACTTGGGCAGACAAACGGCAACAGAGCTGTCGCGATACGGACGTCCGGCCCGTCTGTACATCGCCGATCTTCCACGCGACGAGGTTGCAAAGGAAGAAGCCACCGACCGTGTCTCGCGCGACGCGTATGGCGCGGAGGGAACCAAGGAATGCGACATTAGTGCCCGAACCGAAGTCCACTTTCTTGACCTAGATCTGTCGTCCTTTGAAAGCATCAGAAAATGCGCCACTGAGTTCCTAGCAAAGGAAAAGCGTCTGGATATTCTGGTCTTGAACGCCGGTATAATCAGTGTCCCACCGAAAGTGACGGGACAGAATTACGAAATCCACTTCGGCATCAACTACCTCGGACACACGCTTTTGACGCGGTTGTTAACACCAGTGTTACGGCGAACAGCGGAGGAGGAGAAGGCTGCTGTGCGGCTAGTGGTCGTGTCGAGTGAAGGCCATACCGTAACGCCCAAAGGCGGGATCCAATTCGACAGACTAAAGTCTCCCATGGATGGATTGGTGCGTGGCCCATGTTCATTGTGATTCTCTCGGAATGCTTGGCCATGACAAGTCGACTGACCATAGACTCCCCTCACAGTCATGGACTTCTCGGTACGGGCAGAGCAAATTGGCGCTCCTCGCTTTGACACGAGGGCTCGCCAAACGCTATCCACAGATAACGGTTGCGGCTGTACACCCCGGACGGGTCATCACGGGCATGGGTGACAAGCTTGGTAAAGAAAGCGTTCTCGTACGTATGACGAGGCCGATCGCGCCGTTGGTCGCCGTCCCCGTGACTGTCGGCGCTAGGAATCATCTTTGGGTTGCTACTAGCCCTCAGGTGGTGAGTGGTAGCTACTACGAACCTGTCGGGGTGTTAGCTGAAGGATCAGCGCTGTCAAGAGATGAGAAGCTTATCGAGGAGCTCTGGGAATGGACTGATGCCGAGCTTAGGGGACAGGACTCGCTAGAGTAGATCAATGTCGAGAGCATCACCTGGGGAACGGATGATCGAGATTTCGGATTCAAGATCCGTATTCTGCTGAGGTTTTGTTGCTGCATCCTTGATAGCCCGCTTGTATTTTCAGATAGATTGATACCTTTTGTCTAGGATACCTATGGTAACTGCAGAGTTTATTCAGCAGTCAAGCATGTCTCATCTGCAGCTATTGGACTTGCGACAACACGTTTTCGTGGGGTACTTAGACATGTGCACCAGCTTCAAGGTGTGCCTCATCTCGAGGTTTGTCAAGCGATCTGATCTTATCGAACTCGATACTGGATCTTTGAAGGACTCCCCATGTCGATTTCCCACGTTATACATGATACTGGAATGCAACACGTGCGGGCGAAATTATGTCATCACCCTGTCTCGTCCTGTTGGTGTCTTACTTGACGGCTGACCTGCCACGTTGACCTAAGACACGGCCTCAACTTCAGCGTGAATACGCATGTTCCTCATCGGACTTCTTGATGGGGATGCGGATGTATTGGCAAGTCGGGTAACAACACAACGACCAACAACACTCCCAGCAGGCAAATAAAAAATGAGAAGGTTTAATCGATTTATTTTTTGGCCTCCCATCCTCAGCTGGTATCTCTACCCCATTATTCCATTTATCACCCTAAAGGTCAGGCGTAAAGGGTCGACCAGACCTATCAAATAGTGAACCCACATTGTGCTGAGTGTATGCGTGATGTTACCGCCCAATCAGAACGTCGGCCCTACGATCCCGCGACCTGGACGACACGGTGATGCTCCTGTATTCGGTGCCTGTTTAGTCAATACTGGACGAGCTGCCTTACCAGGTGGCGTTCCGAATCTTCATCCTAGCCGTTGTTACATGGCGGGCTTAGCCGTCGGAGTGGCTAGCTCAATAACCAGCTCAATGGCAAATTAGTCGGGACTGTATAGGGCAGATTGGCAACGCCTGTGCTAGAGATTTCCATGTCAGGCGACCGATGATTGATATTTCCCCATTAAATGTGGTAGTTAACAC